CTTTCATAGTTTTCCCTCTTCCATCTTCTTGTGTCATCTATTCTACATTCAACGACATAATTCGTCTTCCAGTATTATGTCCCTTCGTCCATCTTGCAATCTTCTCCTTCTTCCACATGTTTGGTTGTCCTTTACCACTCATATCCCTCGTCCACTCTCTTCAGCCTCCACCCTGATACATACTACACCTCCCAGTATGATTCTTCATCATTCCTCCACCTGCCACCCACTTTTATCACATTTACAACCATCCTCAGTTCTCTTTCATCCTCCAAACTCTATCATCCTCCGTCATATATACGTCACCCTGTATCCTTGTTCTTCTTCTATCTACCTTCTTCATTTTCCTACATATTCCATCCTACCATATTTCCTATACAATAAATGAAATATCATCACTGTGCGTTCCTTATTACATTCTGTATATCAACATAATTTTAGACAATTTGGTCCTTTTGAATCTCTTCTATTCATAAGATTATTTGCCCATTCGTTATCTTATTAGTGACTTGTCTTCATTAACCTACATAAATGTAGGGGCACAGTAAGTATTTCAATGCAGAAAAATAAAGGTCTGAGTAATCATACCTTTTTTTTTATCGAAAAAAGTATCTGCAGAGTTATGACGCAACTCTAAACAAGGATATTTTCTGTCCTATTCCGCTCTCTTTCTTTTTTTCAGCATCTAATCCTACGGTTAAATATTGGCCTTCATATTGCCTTTGACTTGGTGGCTTTACTCAGGAGCCCAGCAAATCCGAACAAGAAGATCAGCCCTGGACTTAACTTGCATTGGTTCACAACCAACAGCTGTTCTTCACAGTGTCAAAGACATTACCCGCGTCAACCACTGTACTGCACATTCCAGAGTCTGAAACATTATTTATGATCTAATGTGAACAATATTAGCCCTCTATAAAAATCAGTATATTTTGTGAAATACTTATCTAAATGAACACGTTTTTACGGAAAGTATGTTAGCGATTTCAACATTTTTATTTTACCTGTAAATTAGCATGCTGTTGTTATTTGTTGTTGTTGTTTGAGAATAAATAACAATAATTATTAATCCATCGTACATACATCGCCATCATCCACGCTGTTTCCACTATCTCTGACTGTCCATCATCTTCCGATCCCTCCATCTTCCATCCTCTACTCTCCATCTTCCTTCAACCAACCTTCATACTCTATCCTCCTCTGTCGTAGCAAGAGTAATATCAATCTGTGTAGAATATCATTAACCAATTGTTTCTCAACAAAATATAGACTAACTTCAGTATAAGCAGTTAAACAAAAATTCTTGATGAATTTTATTTTCCAAAAATAACATCCTTTGAAACCATCAATCAATAATATTTAGACCACCATTAGAAACCTTTAAGCATTAGACGGCCGTTTCGTCCCGGTATGGTTTCATCAACAGTGCGCAGTAACTACCAAAAACTAATGAGTGAGGTCGCGCAAAATCCGCAGATCAATCAGAGTTAGACATTAACAACGCTGGATGCCAGCCCAGTGGTTTGATGGTTAGTCGTTTGCGTGGGTTAGAATCCTGCGAGGTGCAGGAGTTGTGGATGCGCACTGCTGATGAGTCCCATACCAGGATGAAATGGCTGTCTTTCAGTGCTTCCAGGTTTCTAATGGTGGTCTAACAATGACTGACTGATGATTTCAAATGTGTAAAAACACAAACCTGCAAAACTCTGCCTGAAAATAACATCCTTGTGCTTTTTCACATAAAACATAGTTTTTTTTCTTTTGAATAAAGTAGATTTAATACAATCCACTAAAACAAACATTCCAATTCATTTGAATGTGTGTTTTTTCATTTCGAAAAATAATGTTAATCATGTTGATAATTTGAAAATTCCGGTCTTAATTAATTTATGACATGACCAATTAACTGATCAATTTAAACAATGAATGAAAAAAACCTTGAACTGTTCAATTAATTTCCAAATTACATCTAATATCATAATTAGTAGATTTTTTTTGTTTGATCTTGAATTCAAAGGAATGAATACGTATAAAAGTGAAGTAATATGAATATATATTTTGATTGGGTAAGGTTATAAATGTATAGGGTTAAATGTTATAATGATTACCGGAAATATAGTTTTACCCACTAACAATTAAACTATCCTTAATGATAAGTACAGATGATTGTTTATGAAGATAATACATTGAACAGTAACTCTTTCAAGTTGATTCAGATTTCCAAAACTGTAATGCAAAGTTATAAAGTTTGTTTTTAAACCTCATGTATCGATCAGAAAATTGAATATATATATGGGACCAACTATCTGCTGTTACCAATAATTTACAGTCAGATTGATTAAAAAATAAGTACATGATGGTAGATAAACATTTACGGATTTGAAAATAAGTAGTGAATAGTGATAAAGTAGCTGATGAAGTTGATTTCTGAGGATTTCTACTAGTCTTCTGAATAATAAATACAGAGATAAGACTAAGTGTATTGCCATAGATCTTATTTATTTCAATAGAAGATAACAATCATTTGCTTGGGTTGTCAGTTCAGGGTTAGGGAGATTGTTGAATTTCATTAAAATCATAAACTGATCAATGTTAGTTAATCAGTGGATCAGAGGAGTTCAACCTTGTCGAATTTAAGGCAGTTACTCACCTTAAACAATAGATGATAATCACGCAACATAGTGGATTGATTTGAGTCTGACATCAACACGTTTGGGTGCTGACTCAATTATCAAGAGGTAAGTAGTTATCGAGTGCAACCTATCGTTATAAGTCCGTGTCCTGCTCACTGGATTGTGAATACACACTGCTAATTAGCGTCATTCTAGATGAAAACGGTCATCTAATGCTTCCAGGTTCGCAATAGTGTCCTAACATTGATCTTTCCATGATTTTAACGAAAGAATGTACTTGAAATTATATCAAATCAAAAACTGTCCATATAATATCAGTTAAGTAACAAGTGAAAACTGCTTAATATTGTGAAGAGCTGTTATTGGTAAGGGAGACTGATATTATCACATGAAATATACAGAATATCACAGCACTTAGTACAAATACTTCATGTTTATCAATAGAAAGATTGAGATCTCGAGGGAACCTGTTAGAAATATGACTTTATGATTCGCTTAGCTCTTAGATTACACAATTATTTCTAATTCTTTTAAATCAGACAGATAACTTCAATATGATTTTGATTATATGTATATTACTGTTATTGTTATTTAAACACATAACCGTTGGTACAAATAGGCATCAAAACTAGTGTGCACTCAGGTTGGGATACTGCATAAGTAACCTCAAAGAAGTTGGTGATTTTTGTAGGAGGCCACTCTTTGAGCCTTTCATTTACAGGTCTAATCCACTAGGCCATGAAGCAACATCATGAAATGCTAGCCCATGTTAGTCGGTGACCAAGTGTGGGTTGATACGCCATTTTCTAATCTGCAACCTACAGCCTTTGGAATGAGGTTTTTCCAGTTCCCCTAGATGAATCTTGCGTATCTACCAAACCGCTTAGGTTAACAGATTTCGCTTTTCGTCCTTTCAGTATTGTGAAAGACTCCTGTGCCACGAGCAGGACCTGCCTGACAGTGACTATATACGCATGACCATATGAAAACATTCTGAGAGGAAGAGTGAATTATCTACAGTCTCGGCTGTGCTATAGCATTCGGGGACGTGATCCTATCCGACTGGTCTAGAATACTGATGGCTTCAGGTCAAAATAAAAGGCAAGAATCCTTTTGTGACAATCAGAGGAATCAGTTTTACCAATGCTGAACAGCTGTTTCATCCTAATAAATGGCAATTATTGAGGCAAAATTACTTTTTCACGATAGGATTCACAAAACAGACACCTTCTCAAATCGATTAATTGAGTGTTTGAACTAATCACTAAACTATTGACTAGTTAGTTTAAGTTATTTTGAAAAGATTGGCTAAACTTTATCTGATTAGTAGAAAGCATTTGAGTTATCCTTATCTGATATTTTTAGCTGAATTTTGTTCAGTATTACCAAAGGCGGATTGTAGCTGGTGGTGGAATTCAGGAAATATGTTTCGTTCCACTTAGGACTCACTAGCCGGATGTACTTACATCTCAAAGTTGATGTTTACTCCAAAAACTCGAACCTTACACATCAACCTGCATTGCGTTATCCAATTAGTCACTGAGTCCACTTACTCATTCGCTTGTGCAATGAGGTGAAGATTAATTCATTTTTATTGGTTGTTTGGAAATTCCAGTTCATAGTTAGAGCTGCATTTGATCAGTCTGTTTGGTATACGTGTATCCTGTGCAGGCTGTTTAGATATTGCCTTCAGGATAGTGGCTAACAGTGGAATCCAAGGCGTCCGTTTCATCCTATTTTCGACTCGTCAACTGGATGTACATGCATCTTCGAGTTGATGTGCACTCCGGGACTTGAACCGAGTAGATATACCAAAGAGACTGATTAAATGCAGTTCTAACTATGAATTAGTAGATCAGAACAACCAATAAAAATGAATTATTCTTCACATCATTGCAAAAAACAAGCGAGTAGCTATCTAAACTCAGTAGCTCAGTGAACAATATACTGAATGTTTTGAAGTGTAAAGAAATAGACTGGAGCCTCACTATGAGATACATGCAGATCCGATTGAAGAGTGTCAAAAACAGGAAGAAACATGTACTTCTGACTTCAATCCATCTATTTCAATATTCAATGACATTTGTTTATTTTACTTTGTTAGAGATTTTACACAATTAAACTAATATGCAATTTCGATGGTTTAAAATCTATACATCAATGATAATACATACATAAAAAGTTATCCTATTAAATGTTATATACGTTCAATGTCCAATCTTCACAACATAAATATAAATACATTCATTTAATAATCAACTTCCGGTATAATTATTCAAAACAAATCTGCGTATTTTTCAAAATTTTAACTAAATATATTTCCCATGTTAATGATATAAACATTGAATAAACTGTATGTAAGTTTCTGTTCTTTTTTTTTTCTCTTTGATGTTCAAAATAAAAATAATTTTATTTCGAATTTTGATTGGTTCAAATTGTTTTATTTATTCATTTATAGGGTACATAAAAACAACATTTTAACAGCTGTGATCGAATACTATTATTATATTAACTATCATTAAGATCTATCAGTCTCAATAGTAAGTGATGTTTTCTTCTTTTTGTTAAAATTTGTTTCTCATATATTGAATATTGATCAGTTGTAAGTAGCGCTCATATGTTATTGTGTATAATAGAGAATTAAAATTTCGATTTTGTTTAAAATAACATCTTAACATGGATAAAAATGAAGAACTAATAAATGAACAAATCCAGGCGATAGTGATGTATATATTTCAGTGAAGGAAGTGTTCATTTCGATGATTTGACCTTTTTCTGTTTTTCAAAGCTGTGCAATCGTTATCATTATTAGACAATTGTTTATAAAGTATAAACTTAGGAGTGTTACAAAAAAGTTATCAAACTTAGACATTAACACCGTTGGATGCTGATTCAACGGTCTAGAGGTTAAGCGTTTAAGTGAAAGACCAAAGGTTTGGGTTTGATTCACGTGAGCATTAGTAGTGAATGAGCGCTGCTGTCCAATGCTTCTAGGTTTCTAATGGTGTTCTAACCGTGATTGATTCATAATTTCTATGAAACCCAACTAACCTTATGATGACTGGTAATTCAATTTATCCACGAAATTAGAAATATAAACTGTTGGGTGACAACTCAGAAATCTGAACTGTAAGCATTCAACACCTATGATCGAAAACCAGTAACCTACGGATATCCTATACTCTGAATGGACATGTTTCACAGAAATGAAATAGGACGGCGCAACTGCAGCGCAGTAGACTCGTCCTTTGGTTGGCAGACGGATATCTCACGTACGCCATAACTGATGCGAATTGTCGAAAGCCAATCGAGCTTTCTGTATCCGCGCTGAGATTTCATCAGTCACCAGGCCATAAGCACAGTGAAAACAGCGATATTTTTATAGAACTATTGGTATACTCTGTTAAACGATCGAAAAAATTAAAAAAAGGAACAGATCCTAAATTTCATTAGCTATCCATTAAAAAAATTTCCAATAAAGACTGAGCTATACAGTTCTTACGTCACCAACCATAGAAAAATGTGCTAATTATTGGCTGTCTTCTTCCACATGTCGCCTGATCATTATAACACTTTGTTCATGCGACAGTGATCTCTTCGGTAGAAACTTCTTTGCAACACCTATTGAACACTACTTATAAGCCACGTCGTGAATAGTACCCATCAATGTTTAAAAAAACAGATTACTTTATAGATTATCATTTTTCTGAGCATAGATCAATTTTAATGGAAGATTTATATTGGAAAATATGTAGTATTCGGATAGAAGTTTTTTTCAAATTAATGATATCTTATCTGTTTGTTTAATAAATAAGAAGAATTTAGCAACACTCGTTGTGAATGGAACTTTAAAAAGTTCTAGGAAAGCCTAACAGATGTCTGCAGTAAACTATGACGATAATACACTGAGAAAAAGGTATCTTAAGAGTAGGTCAGGGGGTTTTGATGAACTATGATGGAAGGTGAGACCGACTATTGATTTTCTGCAGCTCAGCTGATGGATGAAGTTTTGTTCTCTGAGTTAAATAATTTATTCGTAAAGATTGCATTGTTCTTCTCAACAACAACATCATCAGTATAAACTTTTGGTAGAAGTAAGGTATTCGAATTTTTCCACGTATGACTAATAGCTTCTCCTGTCAATCTTGATTTGGACCGGTTATTGTGGACAGGAATCGGGACATGTCAATAAGGAAAGCCTCATGATCAAGTCATCTAGTTCAGAGGATGAAGCTCCACGAAAATAAAACTGAGTAGCAATTTATTGTCAGGATAACAGAGTTATTAAGATTTCTATTTATTACTGAAAACATGAATTGATCATACATAATGTTAGCGCACCATTAGAAACTTGGAAGCATTGGACTATTCGGAGGTTAGGCGTTTCACTCGCCAGATCGAAGGTCCTCAGTTCGAATCCTATGAGTAGCAGAAGTCATGGATACGCATTGCTGGTGAGTTCTATTCTAAGAAGGAAGGAACAGCCATTCAGTGCTTTCAGTTTTCTAATGATGGGCTAACTTAATGAACGATTCATGATTTCACTAATAAACCACTAACCTATTTATTAAACAATCTACTTTGCATAGATAAATGACAACACAGATCAATTGATTTCAGTCATAAATACTAACAAAAGGTAATAGCGAATTCTCACTAAAATTATGTAACCATTTATATATATATATATATATATATATATATATATATATATATATATATATATATATATATATGTGGTGTGTGCTACTTATACGAACGATATAAGTAGTGTAAGAAGGGCCGTGAAAGAAGAAGTCTCACGGTCACAAGAGGAAAACGGAAAGCAAATGGAGCAAAAGCAAGAAGTAAATGGAGTAGTATCAACAGGAAGGAAAGGAAGCAACAACAGGAATGGAAGAAGGATGGAGTGTTGGAAGTCAGGACTCAAAGATGGTGTGCAAATAGAGTGTTCAATGTAATGTTTTCGTCTTGTTGGGCAATTCCTCTTCCAATGTCCGGTTCCTCCGCAAATATAGCATTTATTATTTCTTTCACCCTTTATTCGTAACGCTGCCACCTCTCGTTGTAATTCTTCTATATTCTTCACGACATCACCAGCCTGACTTTCACACGCCACCGAGGCGACTGTTGAGTTCATCAGTTGTCTTGTTACTTTCGCCAGCTCGTCCTCCTCATCCAAATCCGGCAGACCCCGGCGCAGCAATCTTGTCAACTCCACAGCCAGCACGAGTGGGTCGCAATCTACTGACAGTCGCGCCTCTCGGAACTTCTGCAGCGCGTCCTGCCTATCCGCCGGGCTGACGAACTCCAGCAGCAGCATTTCCGTCGGCACCTTCCAGTCGGTGTCCTCTACACTATCGTGCACCGCTTTCGCCCTGCCTCTCAGTAGAGTCCCCAGCACCATCGCCTTCGCCCTCCGTTCCTTAACTCCGACCAGCTCCGCCAGGGCCTCGAACTCCTTCAAGAAGCTCCTTACATCTCCGTCTTCAAACTCCCGAGGCCATGGTATCTTCATCCTGTGTAGAGGCAGCGACACCAATTGAGAAGACTAAGGCAGGCTTGATAGATTGTATTTAGCAACTTACACTCTTAGTCAATTAAAAACGAAAACATTACATTGAATACTCTATTTGCACACCATCTTTGAGTCCTGACTTTCAACGCTCCATCCTTCTTCCATTCCTGCTGTTGCTTCCTTTACTTCCTGTCGGTACTCCATTTACTTCTTGTTTTTGCTCCATTTGCTTTCCGTTTTCCTCTTCTGACCGCGAGAGCTCTTCTTTCACGTCCCTTATATTACTTATATCGTTCGTATAAGTAGCACACACCACATATAAACTGAATAGCATAGTATTTCAATACCTGGTCACATCAATAAGCTGTAAACAGGAAAGCATAATATTATCATGTAAACCTTCATATTATATTTTTAATAAAAATGTCATATCAAATCAATCAATTCATTACATTGTTTTCATTTAAATTTTTATTTAAAATCTCAAATAATTAATTTATTTATTTATTGTCAGACAAATTATTCATAAACAATGAAAATCATGATTTGGTTATCATTGATAGTAATGACAATGTATTGTATGATCATGACAGAAGGTTAGTTGAACTAATATTGTGTGGTATTTGTATAGTTGATTGAATTACAGAAAGAACTATTTGCATACACTGATTACTGTTCGTAGAGTCTAGGTTATTGATTAGCAATCTTCAATTAACTCTGTCCTTATATTCTCCTTTACTACTGTTCTCATGAGTGTATCCAATTCCCGATGCAATGTATTGTTTGATCTTCGCTTCTGCCTTTTGACATTAGGATTCCATGTTAGGGTTTAACTTGTTATGGAGTTAGGAGGTTTTCGCATTATGTGTCCTAACCATTTTGAGCGGTTTTTTCCTGATTGCTTCCTCATCTAGAAGATGGTCTGTGCTCTTGCACAGTAGGTTAATGCTGATATTGTCTAGACAGTGGATCAAAAATATCTTGTGTAGAAAAGTGTTAAAAAAATACTTGTATGTTGTGGATGATGGCTTTGATAGTTCTATAAGTTTTCGCACCATACAATAGAATTGTCTTGACGTTGGTATTGAAAACTGTGTTGGTCGATAGTGGTTTTGGGTTTCAGATGTAATTCACTTCTGGAAACACTGTCTTCTCTCTACCAATCCGTTTCTTGACATCTGCATCAGATTCACCTTGTTAATGCAGAAGAGAACACTCGTTATCGTATCAGGGTCTATTTATATTCACTAACTCGTTGAGTTGTAGCCGGTGTAGTGTTCGTCTAATCTTTAATGCTTACCAAATCCCAGCTTCTACGGTATAACATCGTGTATATTATGTTTTAATATCGTACTTTAAGTCACTGAAAACCCGAATATCCCGGGGATGTCACCTTTTTTCATTCAGAAGTAAAGAATTGCGAGACATAAGCAATAAAACGTTGTTATGCCTAAAAATTATCTCAAAATAACAAGGAATAACACCAAACTATTTGCCATGTTTGCTAGTCAGATTAAAGTTATTTCAAGGCTTAACAGATATGCCTTGGCCTTAGTCTTATCTCAGAGGACAGCTTTAAGAAGAGACTTGATAATCGCGTAATTACATACGGATTATCATCTCCCTCTTGGACAAGCTGTGCGTGATGCATATCTTGAGACTTGCTAGTTGTTATCGTTGCCATCTCCTCAGATCACTCAATTAATCTAGCTCGCCTATTACCTCTGTTTCCTCTCCCTTGCTTACACTAGGGTCCTCTCTCACAATCTTCAATGCCGATTCATAAACTAAATTCATCTATATATTACTGAGTTTTTAGCATTAGAATTTTCTCCCTATTATTCTCCACACTGAAACTAACTGATCACTGGTCCGGTAATGTGATAGCTTCCGGTATCCAGAAACCCTACTGCCCTGAAACAAACGTTTCATTCAAATCCCCAGACATACAAACTCACAACCAACTGCCACGTGACTAGAATTAGATAGTCGGGTGGCTAGAATACCATTCATTTGACTCTACCAAACACCTGGAATCGTACTGAAGGAACAGGAGTCGAGCGCAAAGGAATCAAAACTGTTGTGGAGCCTCCTGATGCTACACTGACCTCTTTCTCCGGCATTTGTTGCTGTGTGTGGGATAGATGAGCTAGACCATCTGTGAAGTCCAAATCGTCCAGCTAAATCCTAGCTGTCCACTGTATTTCTTGTTTCCCCTGACATAATTACGTCTTCATAATCCAGTCGATCACCAGATAGAAAGATAAAATGATAAGACTAAGCAACCTTGTCTAACACCGGTTTTAACTTAAAACGAATCTGTGAGCTGTCCTCCATGCACGATTTTACATTTTAATCCATCATACATATTCTGATGGTATTATCTAAACAGATCATGAAATTTTTACAAAGAAGCAACTAAACTCAAAGAATACAACATCTTAACAATCCTTATCTTAAGTTTTCTCTTAACGTAAAAGGACATGCTTCAAAATTATCGTTTAATTGAGCTAGCTAAGCTAGTCAAATTCACTATTTTAACTATGCGAAACAAGTTCTCTTGTAATATTCTTTGTATTATTCTGATATTGGAAATTTAGAAAATTTGGAACATAGGAAGTATAGATGGCGAAATCTAGAAGATTGTACTTTATTAATTTTTCGTTTAAAACCTAATATAGACGATTATTGATATGTATACTCCACAGAATATGGATAAACCATTTGTAATAAACTCATTACAATGAGCAGTTCATTTCGAATGAGACTGGTCAACTGTGTGTGCCTGGATTTCAGTTTTAATGATTACATTGGTGACTAAACTCAAGGCTAATCATCTCTTCAAAAGTCAGTGTTATTGAGGTATCCTAGTCACTGACTCATGAAATGAATTTTCGGGAGTTTATTTTCATCCGATGTCGACATTCTAAAACGGCCATGTGTCAATAGGGGTTGGTTTAAGTTAGTGGCGAATATTCTTAGCTGGGATTTACAATTTCTTACAAATAATAGTGAATTTGCAAGAACTATTTCATTTTGATATATATATTACTTGTAAACAATTTAAGTAGTATTTTATAGATCATTTAAAAAATTGCCACCATTTGAAATACATCTCAATTTCTTTTGTTAGCTAACCGAAAAGTTATTTTCAAAGGTGCACAGTCATATGCTGGTTATCGAGGAGGTCAACCCACTCAAAGAAGACCATCTAGTCCTCGTCGTGTTGATATTAATAAAGTTCAACTGTATGGTGCAAGAAGAAATGATCCAACTTACCGTGAAGGATTATCAGAACTAGCTGGTTTAATGTGAAAAGAAATGAAGTTTGAAAAATAAGAACAAAAATAATTTATTCACTAAATACGCTTAAAATTCTTTAATATATTTTCTTAATTAATACAGTTAATTGATAATAGTATGGTATTGAAATTCTTCTTGAAGGGTTCTTTTCACAGAAAAAGTGATTCTCTCTTTACTAACTCTCTGGAAGATTGGTTAAATGCTGAATCAAAAATCTGATAGTCCTGAATTCAATCTTAGTAATATTGTAAGTGAGAACTTTTGAGAAGTTTGATAGAATGCCGAAATATCTATTAATAAAAATCTCAATCTCGATGTGTTTGTTGATTTCTGATTGATTTAAGTGTCAAGCTTCTAAAAATTCTCTAGTGTTCTTTGTCCTCCCCCTATCCAGTATTTCCTTATTATCCCAATGGAATGTATGTCCATAATTGTCGGTGTGTATCGATATAAGTGAAGCGTCTTCGTGGATTTTGACTGCTAATTGACGTTCACGTAAACGGAGCTGAAGAGGTCGTCCAATTAGTCCTATGTAGTGTTTTTCACAGTCTGAGCAATTTATTTTGTAAGTGATATTTGGCTTTTATTCCTTTGTCATTTTGTCTTCTGGTCTACATAGGATTGATTGAATTGATTCTGTTGGTTTGTGTACCACACCTATTGCAAATGGTTTCAGTAGTCGTGCTGTATACTCCGATATGTCTTTTATGTATGGTAGGATGATCCGTTTATTTGTTCCTGTACTTGACTTCGCTTCTGTTGACGATTTCGGTCGATGTTTTTTGATGAAGTTGCGTGGGTAGCCGTTCTTTTGGAAGATAGTCATAAGATGTTTTTTTCCTCGTTTTTAGTGCTTCATATTTGCTGCAGTGTGTCTTTGCTCTATTGAACAAAGTTTGTATGCAGTTGATTTTGTGTGTTATTGGGTTGTTGCTATCGCAGTTGAGAATTACCTCGGTGTTGTTTGGCTTCCGAAATACTTGAGTTTCCAGTTTTCCCGTGTTACGTCTGGTGATTAATATATTCAGGAATGATAGACTGTTGCTTAAGTCCTTTTCAATGGTGAATTTTATGTCATCGAAGACGTTGTTAATACTATTACAGATGTTCATCAGCTCGTTCCTTTTGATAATGACGAATGTGTCGTCCATATAGCACACCGACATTTGTGATTTCATCAGTGGTAAAACTAACACTTCCAGCGTCCGCGATGTGTCCTGATATTGGTGATCCCATCGGTGTTCCTTTTGTTTGTTCGTAGACGCTGTTGTTGAATCGAAAATAAGTTGTTAAGCATAGATCGATGAGTTCTAGAAGACTTAGGCTCTGGAGCTTCGTATATTTCTGCATGTTTGTGTCGTTGGCGAGGAGCAGGGAAAGAGCTTCTTTGTCTAAGCTTGGCTCTACTAAGTTGAATAAGGCTGTTACGTCGAAGGATATCATCAACATGTCGAAGATGTTTTATTATCCTTGAACTTTCTCTGGATAAGTCGTAGGTAGGGGTTTCAGGGAGGGATATAATTGGGCGTACTGGAGTTTCAGTCTACCTACCAAAGACGGAAGAACAACTCCTCCAAAATGGACTAAATTACAACACATGGGACGCTTAGAAACTCGAATTCTTCACTGCACCAGAGCCGTCAGACAAAACGGCAAAATTAATGAAGAAACTGAACGAGAATTATGTCAAACCATAGTGACGCTAACTGGATGGAAGAGAGATAACAAACAACTATCAGCACAACAACAAAAAGCCGTAAGGAAACGTAGAACCAGGGAAGATATAGTCGTAGTTCCAGCAGACGAAAACGCAGCACAGCAATTATGGGCAGGGAAGAATATATCAAGGAAGCCGAGGAACTACTTGAGGACAGAAGCGTATAGAAACCAATCGACACAAATCCAATGAAAAAGTTAGACAACCAAATCTCAAGGACTCTGCATAAGCTTGTCAAATCAGGACAAATATCAAAGCAAGATCAATGGAGAATGAAATCCAGTGGGCCGGTAATTCCACCACAATCATCCACCTGAGCTACGAATTTTCTCCACCATCTCAATTGCGTCTGTGATCTAGTGTGGTATGGCAACTTGAACAGATGTACGAACGTACGGAGTTCTACATTGTAACTTGCTGACTGACTGACTACGAATACTGCCTCAAATGATCTCAGTATCTGACTATTACCAACTTAAATTTATTGTTTGTCCTACATGTAGACTGAGGATATATTCCATTTCACTGAAGTCCCAAATAGTTGGAAAAATGAAAGTTTCACTATTGCGATAAAGAGACATGTCGCGACATGAGACTAAGAATAATAATTTTATTTGAGCACATTTGCGTCAAGCTGGGCTGCATCTCTTACGATCCTATGTCATACGCTTTATATTCCACCAGCTTGATTGCACTATACAAAGCTGAAAGTTTTCTATGAGACAGGAGGTTAACTGTGAACATTATGCATGGCTTGGAATTGGTTTGACAACTATTGCTCACAGTCCATGTACAAAATCGGTTAGCAGGGTGGCCGATTTCATTAATACTGGTGGTTCTCTTGCAACATTCCCGAGGGATGTTGTATTGCATATCACCACTGCTAGCAATAATAATAAATTTAACAGTCATGTAAGCTGGATGGGTCAAACTGACCTGTTCATGCCGAGCATATTGATCATGGGTCAGAAATAGTCACCATATATATTAGTGTATATAAATGGTGTCAATGGTCCACTAGGATGTAAGGTACTTGTGTGATTGAGCTACAAGATTGAGCTATGCTGTTCACGTTGTAGAATTCGCCTGAAAACCAGTGTGAAACTACCCTTGGCCATCGGAGGTACATTTATGTATATTTATTGTATCTAGACGAATTATCGCTTTCGATCCTCAATAACTTTCATTTATCAAACTATGATCAAACCGGTACAGAATCGCAGATAAAGTAGGCTAATCAACATACATTTAAATCAGTTGTACGTATCTGAAATCGGTGGTCTTAGATTTCATTAATTCTTCTGAAGGTCATTACTTAAATATACTAGTGATTACCATGTTTATAGGATCATGAATAATCGTAATAAACATGATAACTTTTAGTTCTACAGTGATACATTATTTAGCTGACAAAGACTCAGATCAAAAGCTTTTGATCCGTTTTCTTCTTTTAAACTTTTTAAAAAAGGTGAGGAAATTTTTGTCAAAATCTTAAGTGACTATAGGCATAAATTTGAATTTTTACACTTTAACTAACTAGCTTTTCAACTAATTATAGACCATAGTTGATAATTTTGTAAAAATCTCCTAATTTATTAAAGACTATTTATTCTACATGAATGATTACAGATAAATACGATTGTCTAACACCAGAAAATGATATATTCAGTAGGAAAATGTTTTTCACTGTTGCATCATCTTCTTTGGTACTTTATATTCCAATATTAAATAGATCCAATATATTTTTGACTAGCAAGTAAAAACCAATAGATTTATTTGCACTTGATTCTTGTTCTTTCGATATGGTTACAGGTGTTGTTGGTGTTCAGTGGATGGGGATCCAGCCACTCGAATGTTTAATTCTAGTTATCTGGCAGTTGTTTGTGAGTTTGTATGTGCCGTGATTTGAATGAATACGTTTGTTTCAGGGAAGTAGGGTTTCTGGTTAGCTGACCGGAGTGTAGAATCTTTTTTGAATGTTTTGTTTTTTGGAAAATCTCTCCATGTTTATATATTTTGTTATGACATGACGGACTCTTTCTGTTGACATTTCGGTATTTTATTTGATTCTATTTTGAGATTTTATCATTGTATATTGTTATTATTTCTATATTTTGTATTTATATTGAAGTTTTTATGTTTGCTTCTGAACTGTACACATGTTGTTTAAATTTAATATAATATGGCTACCGCCACATTTTTGGATTTGATCTCGTTGCAGCATACGAGTTTCACCAAGTCTCTGGAACCTGGATACTCATTCAGAGTAATTTTGAATTGGAAGACGTAAAAATCGTTAGGTAACGTTTGTATTTCCATTTCTTTTATATAAATAGACCACTTTCTCCTAGAATTATTGTGTTTTGATATTCGAATAACGGAGAGTGCGTCCAACATACGTCTATTGGAATCGAATTGAACTGCTACGGTAGAAAATCCAACTACACGGAGGTCAGTTAGTTGCAATTCGGAGAATAATAAGGATAAAATTCTAATGCTAGTATGAGTAAGATATCAGAATCAAGTAATATATAGATAATTGAGTTTATTAATTGGTCGTGAAGATTGTGAGGGGACCTCAGTGTTTGCGAGGGAGAGGAAACAGAGATAATAGATAGAACAGATAGAATAATTGAGTAGTCTGAGTAGATGACAGTGATAACAACTAGCAAGTCTTAAGACATGCATCATGAACAGCTTATCCAAGAGGCAGTTGATAATCCATATGTGAGTACGTGATTACCAAGTCTCTTCTGAGAGAGCGTTCCAAGTTGCAACTACTCTTAATGAGAAAAAGTGTGCACGAACCATAATGTTCGGTATTCGATGCCCGAGTTTTGAGGATTACTTCAAAGGGAGTGGTAGTGATGTATCGATAAGATGCTCATGTTGGGATGGTTTGGCGTGCCTAATATACTGTACGCTCTGATCAGATCACGTCCGATTCTCCTGTAAATCGGGGAGAACAGTCCCAAGTTTTGCAGTCCGTCTTCTTGAGGTTTGTTCTTCAACCCTATCATCCATTTACTTGCTCGTCTCTGCACTTGATCCAAGAGATTTATGTCTCTTTTAAGGAGAGGGGGTGCTACAACATTGTGAACGTTAAGAATAATTGTGGAATGATAGCACTAAGTTGTCTAGGCATTAAGTGAAGTGTTGCATTTGCCTTGACTGAGTGGAGGCTTTCTGCGGTGATTAAACCAACCTTTACAATGAAAAGGTTAAAGATTAATTCTATGGGAGGCCGCAGTCAGTGGTTGAGAAATACCTCTTAAAGGACTTGACTATTATGATGGTATACAAAGGTTATCAAGGACAACACCGGATATGAAAACATCATTCGGCGATGTGGACTGGGGGAAAGGAATGAAAATGGCGAGGGGTTTGTAAACCTATGTGCCTTCAATAAACTGGTGGTAGACGGAACAATATTCCCACACAAATGCACACATCAGGCTACATGAATTTCACTATATCATACTACATAAAAAAATCGATCAAATCTGTGTTAATAAAAAGTTCAGAATGACGATGTAGGATGAAAGAACCATGAGAGGAGCTAATACAGAGTCAGAACATCACTTGGTAGTCGTCAAGG